GACCGTGGTGCCGCCGGACGAGACGACCCCAGACTGCCCCTTCGTGGAGGACACCTGCATCGTGGTCGGGAACAAGGCACTGCTCACTCGGCCGGCCGGGAAAACACGGAGGAAGGAGGTATACCAATATTCAATACAAACCAACTTATCTCTCATTTCTTTAATGAGAAAACAATGTAAAGTAAAATCACTAAATTAGCCATACCTTAAGCCCGGGCCCGGCCCGACTGTTTCAATGAACGAACAATAAGAAAAAAATCCAAACCAAGAATATGCACAAATCATGCTTATGATTATCCTTTAATCAAACGTGTTTGTGTGTGTTTCGTTGTCTTTTATACACATGTATATCATGTTTATTTGTTCTCGCAAACTACCCGGCCGGGCCCCGGCTTGGAAGTGTGACTCCAGCATAAGGCATGGCACACGTCAAGCACGTTTAAGATCCCACCACACTTATCCAAAAGAGTGTTAGTGGATCAAATCTTATCAACACTACCAGATGCATAAATGTGGCATTTAAATGAATTTGATGGAAAAATATGTGAAAATAATGTAATATAATGTGACTACAGAAAAATGTATGGTAATGTTTTATATACTTGAATATTTTTCTCTCCTTTAAAGATTGACACCATAGAGAGGGTACTGACAGACCTTGGATTGGAGGTGCACAGGATGCGTGACGAGAAGGCAATGCTGGAGGGCGGCGACGTTGTTTTCACTGGTTCGTTATCGAATTTGACTCTTTTTCTTATCTCTTTTTCTTGTTCGTTCCTCGTTGTTGGACCATGGATAGCGATGGGCACTCTGGAGCCTTTGTGAATTCCTATGTTGTGTCCCTACAAGTAAGATAATCACAATTTTAATTTTGGGATAGCAAAACCCTCAATCCACGGGCGCCACCATATTGAGTCGTGACGTCATGGGTCGGCCATTTTTGTCTGTTGTTCTTCAGGACACGAGTTCTTCGTCGGTAACTCTGTGTGCTCCAACCGCGCGGGTCAAGCCATCCTGGCCAAGACCTTCCCGGAGTACCCCGTGCACTCCGTCCGACTGGACTATCCCAAGTTCCACCTGAAGGGGGTGATCTGCATGGCGGCACCGGGCGTGATGGCAGTAGGGGAGAGCAAGTGGGGCAAACATGCTTGGAAGGTAACTGTCTGACCTTAAAATCCTCTCCTATC